CTGCGCGGCGGGGCCGGGAGGGAGGAGGGAGCTGCTGCACGGCCGGGCGCTCGGCCCGCGGCGGGAGCACCCCCAGGGCCTGTGACAAGGCGCAGGATCCGTCCCCTCCGCCACGCTTTTCAGGGGAGAACGAGACTTGCAACGCACTGGGTAATATGTGCCCTCCTCCCAGGTGAGAGGAAAGGAGAAGGTCCTAGGCTAGGCAGCTGAGTGATCAGGAAAGGGAGGAGGGTCCCAGGCTTAGCTGAGGCCTGTTGTAAGACAAGGACCCACAAGAACAGAGCTTTCTACCGTTTCATATTGTGGAGTGTGAAGATAGAGGGAAAACTATCACCCAAAACATATTATCACATCAAATTATCACATCAAACACATATTTGCCTTGTATATACGTCCCTTTGATCAGTTTTGTCTAACAGTGGTGAAGTGCAGTGTGTTTTTATGTGGCCTGTGCTGTCTGACATGATGGAAGCTGCCCTGCCCACACACAGAGCTTCCTGGGAAATGAGTAAAGCAGTGCTCTACTAAAGAGAATTAAGCTGAGCCTCACTTAAGCAGAAATGAGAGCATCTGTTGGGATAATAGAGTGTAATTTAAAGTCTTTGCACTGCACTGAAGGCTCTAATTTGTGGAAAGGAATTTTCCTAAGAACTGTCAACAACAGGTTCTGTGAGTTACACTTTTTTCAGGTGGTTTAGTTGGGGTGTGTGGCTGGCAGTGCAGATGGGGATGACACTTCTGGAGTTAATACCAACTTTATGTACCTATCTGGCTTTATGCAGTGTTAGGGAAAGCTTAAAAGTGTAACAAATGACACATGCAGTACAGACAGTGATAAAATTTTTCAGATACTCTTACTGACACCTCAAGGATTAAAGCGTAATAAGTGAAATCTTAATAATTAGTAAAATCTTGCTGTGTCTGCACTGTGTAGTCATGTTTCCATTCAAAAGTAGTCTTTGATTATTTTTTACGATACAAATAATTATCTTACAGAAGTCTCTTAGTTAATGGAAGAGGGTCATTATGAATGTGTGCATTTTTCTCATCAGATCAGGAAAGACTCTCCCAGTGTGAAAGCCCACAGTTTGCTTAACCTCTGTACCTGGTGGAAAGGCAAAGGATGTGAGGTTTCTGCTGCACATTCAGGAGGGATGGTTTATGTCACCAATGTCTAGACATTTCCCTTCAGCTAATAAGTCTTTGGATCTTCAATTAAGTGGTTTTTAAAAGCTTACCTTAAATTAACTGAGCAGAAGAATATGCAGGAATCCTTTTTCTTCTCGTTTTAGTCAGAACTGTTTCATGTCAACACCTGTGTGCAGGAATAGCCTCCATCCTTGGTGTTAAGTAAGAAGCCTGACATGAAGAAGGTACAAGTTTGAATGCAGTCACAGATTGTCTTTGCCTGGGAGGGCAGTAGAGACAATCATGGAGGAAGTCTCATAAATCATGAGTCCTCATTTTCTTCAACATGGGCAAGAAGAATCTCAGTTCATGAGGCTATGAGTAGATTCAGGTAGAGGAATTTTAAATGCATGTTCTAGACATCAGATTTCTGAGGTGTGGGGATTGTTCTCTTCTGTAGATACTACTGTTGAGAGATGACAGTGCTTTTTAAATTTATGATCCTACTGTCACCTTTGAGATTAAAATCTTAAGTGATCCTTTAAAATCTCATCAGGAAATCCAGAAGACAGTTTATATTTACTTTAGTGGTCTATTAACAGCATGTTACTAGCATTCTGTGCTCATTTGCTGCTTGCAGACTTTCATTTCTTGAACAGAAAACTTAAAGAAAAACATAGTAACCTTGATTTTTCTGAAATGGCTGACTTAACCTTTATATGGCCAGTACTTTACAGAGCTTTCAGGTTTTTTTCCATTGCTGCCTCTACTTCAAATTTTATGAAAACATTTGTTGTATCTCCTGAGTATCTCCTCTTAGAATTCACTTAGTGATAGTGTTTCCCTTTCTACATTGAACCGCAAGTAGTGAACTAGCTAGTAGCAATAGCTAGCTAGTGGTGATGGGTTGAAAATTACTACAGAAAGTAAAAAAATATCTTGTGAAATGGTAGAATAATGATTTCTCTGCATCTGTCAGCAGCTGAAATGACATCAGGTGAAGAAAGCTGCTAAAGGGAGTGATTGTCCCCATTTTCAAGGCAGCATTACCACTTTCAGTAACATGTTGATAGCAGCAGAAGTTTGGGGGTGTTTGATTGTAGAGAGAGATTTGTTATATGGAAAAAAAAAGTATTGAGAAAAAGTTGACTGTTTCTTTAAGGAAAGTTCAATGAGAAAAAGCTGTTTGCACCAGTGACAGTAAAATATAAAGGATTTTTTAAGCTGTCTTTGGAACCAAACAGTTTCTGTCGTGCAGAATAGTTTCATTTGCACAGGTAGGGCTATTTTCCTTTTGCAAAGGCCTATGATATGAATACTCATGATTCGTTTAACACTTACTGAAGGCCACCAGTCTTGTATTATATAATAATACATTTCCTAGGTTGTGCATGTGCGCAAGTGTCAGGGTTACCAATGGCCAACTGATATTGTAGTGAAGTTTAATATTATAAAGTAAGTCCATCCAGAAGAGTCTTGCCATTGAATTATTTGGTTCTGTCACCGCATACTGCAGCTTGTTATGTCAGTTGAGCTTTCTTTTCAGTGCTGCAGATTAGATATAACATTAACTCCACACTCAAACTGTTTTATGGTGTAAAAGTTACAGGGTCTCAATTAAACACAGTGTTTGAAATAGTTGCTGTTTTGGGTTTTTTTATTATTTTGAAGATAGAATGCACTGTTTACTACTGCTTTACTACTAAGTGTTAGTGCTTAAAGAACATTAATGTCACTTTTGCTAGTGCATTTGGACTTGCTCTCAGAATCTCCTTGTCCATGTAAAGGTTTTTAGCTGTGTTCTGAGGTGATTCTCTGACCTGTCCCTCATGGCTTTGATACAATAGTTCATAAAATAATTCTCTACCTTTTAGCAATTTTTATGTTTTAAGATCGTTGTCTTAACTGCATAACCAGATTGTACTACAGCTAATCATTAGAAATGTCCTATGAATAAGACGTGAATGTTCCTGCATTTGGTTGTGTATCCATTACCATCAAATTTCAGTAGAAGAAAAGTACTTACTGGGACCACACAAGCAGGGCTCTGCCACAGCACACTTTCAGAAATAGGTTAAAGACTGTTCAGTTTTCAGTGGAATCTGTTCTGGTTAAGCATAAGGCCCTTTGCTCTATGGCACCATCTCTCAGTTTTCCACAGATATTGTTTAATAGGATTTATTTACGTAGATTATGTAGGATTTATTAGTCACATTCAAATACTGTAGCTCCTGGGCCAAAAAGTCCAGGAGGCATTATGGAAAGGAGCCCTTAGTGAGTGGTTTTATGCTCCTCTACGAAAATAGAGGCTGATAATCAGCCTCAAGTAGCATTGTTCTTCTGATCATAGAGAATGCAACAGGCATGTTTGGCGACTTAACTATTGTGTATCTGTAGTACAGTTTAACTTTTGTTAAAATAAATTAATTTAATATAGCTTTAGACAAAAGCTCACTTTTTAGGGAAATGAATCTGAGGAATAGAACAATAGAGGATGCTAACAGGAGGAAATGGTCATAGCAATTTCCTTTATGTCATAGCTCTCTTAAGTTGCAGACTTGTAGCAGGTTTAGATGGGCAATTGCGGTGATACTTGATCTTAAAAAAATAATAATACAAAACTCGGTGCAAAAGGTTTTTTGTTTATGCAGTATCGGGTTAATCACTGATTACTAGCAAGATTGCATGTCAAATGAAGTCATCTGTTCTCAAATTTCACAAAACACTAATTTGGTTAAAGCATGATGATTTTCCCAGTATTTTCTTTGGGTCATTGGTAGATAGTTTGCTTCATATAATGCTGGGTTCAATCAATAAGTACTTAATATCTGACTTCTGCTCTTGTAAACTTTATCAACTCTTCCTCAGCTTGTTCAGCTTTTGAGTTAGACATGTTGTTCACTTAGGCTTCTTAAGAAAAATAGCTTTTCTGTAGTTACATGCCTACATGCCAGATGTAAACAAGTATTTTGGAGAAAACAGAGGTGTTTTTTTTCTTATCCCCATAAATCATCACTCATAATTAAGATTATAATAAACTTAATATTTTCTGAGGAAGACACAGGTGAGGAGTAGTAATTACTACTAGTAATCACCTTCAAAGCTCTGCTACATTAAAAGGAAACTTTTATTTTTAGTTTGGTCTGTTAAACGTTTCTTTACCTGATGGTTTTCTTCCAAAGGGATCACCCAGGACATCTACTCCATTTGGTACAGCGCATGGCAGAGAGAAAAGAGAGTCTAATGATGTGGAAAGCTATTACAGACCTTCAATGCTTGAGGACCCATGGGCTGGCCTAGAGCCAGTTTCTGTTACAGACATAAAGCAGCAATACAGCAGTGAGCAAACAACATATACTGGTAAAAAAGGGAGATATTTCAGCTAACACTTTTAAGGCCAAATAACTCCATCTTACCAGGAAAACTTTTGGACAAAATCTTTACACTTACACAAGGTGAACAGTTATCAAGACCTTAGATAATGCTTTTATCACATGTCCACCCTTTTATCCTACTCTTTTTTTATTATTATTGCATTGAATATTTTTATGTATGGGCGGGAAACGGAGTGGTAGGAAAAGTTACATTTCTGGCTACGTGGAAGTGCCTACCAGCTTAGAAGAACAAAGTGTTCTTTAATCACCAGCGACTGATTTGTGACTGTTAAAACAGGTTTCCATATATTTACCTCTTCCATGCCAGGTTGTTAGTCTTTTATTGTAAACTCCTTTAGGAAATGGTATTTTTTTATGTTTCAACATTTTTAGAATGAAGTAACTTGGAAATAAAGTTTTTGTAAATCCTTGTTTTGTAATGTATAAAGATTATTTTAGGACTTGTGTTCAGGTGTACACTAACATATATAGTACTAGTGAAATAGGTGATTTCTGTAAATGTGTTTGTATGTTGTAGTTAATCTCTGGTTTTGTGCCTAGTATTTTTTGTTAATTGTGGTGTAACATGCAGTTGAAAGGTGACTTTTAGCCATCTCAGGAAACAAACGTATTGTCTTTGAAAAGTTAAATTTGTTGAACCAGCTCTTGAGTCATAAACATAGTTCTGTAATAATTTGCTTTTGTGTTTTATAAAAAAAAAATCTTATTTGGAACAAAATTAGACATTTCTGTATTGTGGTAAAAAGTCTGTTCAGTGGCAATTTAAGTCTAGAAGCACATAAAACATCGAGGTAAAATAAATGCAAACGTACTTTCTGGATCCACGTTAGAATAGCATAGAATAAATGAAAGTTGGTTATATAGTTTAGATTAATACATGCATAGCATTTCTCTTTTTGTCTGCACAAGATTTTTCCTTTTTTAATTTTTATCTATGACAGGCATTGTTGCCTAGGAAAGTTTTGCTTTGTGTGTGTGCATGCTCTGTTTTTATATTGAAGAGGAAAACAAGGAGGGTGTCTTTAGACGTCCATATGTGGAAGATCCATTCTTAAATCCAGTGGCGAATATTGTAATCTAGAATAAATAAAAAATGGGTCTAGCTGAAGGCGTGCTCTTTAACATGCCATGTTAAACCTGCAGTAAATATCTCAATTTCTGTTGAACTTACCAGTATTTGCTTGTTGACTTTGGTTTTTAAGCGGTAGGTAGAGGGTGAAAACTTAGTTAAAAATAAATAAAAACATCAGTTTTCAAAATGTATGTTTTGTTTTAAGCTTCTTACCTCACAGAAAACATGTTTTTGTAGTACTGAAACATGGTTAGGTAGAAAAGCACAGGGAATCACATTAGACTGACTATTCTTAGTAACTTGTCTTTTGCTGAGGCACAGTAGTCCTAGATACTTCTTCACCTGTTTCAGCATAAAATGTATTGGCTTAATACTGCCTCCAGGAACAAGTTCCAACTGAAAGAGGAGGTTAACACATTTAAATTTATGCTGCCTGAGTGTCTTGCACTTTTATTACCATAATCTACAGTTTGTCACTTGTGTCTTCCCCCAGCTGACCTTATTGCTTTAGTATTATATCCAAAAAGGCTGCTCAGAGAACTGAGAACATAATGTCTGCTTGATATTGAGAATGGTTAAATCTTCATCATGGAATCAAAACTGTGCCTTAAGTGGCAGCTGTCAGTATTGTTATCTGCAATGTGTACCAGCAAAACTGAGATACGTGACTGAGGTAGTCTTTAGCATTTATAAATAAATTCATCAGTGTCATTGTGAAAAGTGCAGTGTAAAGTCTTATTTCCTTTTTTTTTTTTTTAACCTTGTCAGGTGCTATAAAGCTCACCAAAAAAAGCTAAGGGTGTTTAATAGTAATATTTTTTTTTGTTACAATTTCTGTTATAATTCAGCGCAGTGTATGTTTTGCAGTGTTTGGTGGTCTTGGTGAAACAGATACAGTGTTATTTAAGAGACTAAAGTTACGGTATGTTCTCAGTCAGACATGAGAAGAAACTGGGTTCCTTCAAGGGAAGGAAAAGGATTCATGGCAGAAGAGACTGTTAGAGGTGGGATTGTTTATACAGTAGCCAATATCGGCTGCCCTCGCACAGTGAAAAGATGCATTTCTCCACTTTGACTCTGCAGTTGGCCCAGGGATCAAAACCAGCCTCCTCTGCTAAGAACTGTTAACTCCTGCAACCAGTAGTTAGACATTAACAAAGGTAAATGTTCCAGAAAGAGAATTAAGGAAATAGTTGTGAAGCATTGTTTAATGAATACAGGCCTTCCACAATGCCATCTGTTAAGCTGCTGCTCCAGTACCCTTCAGGATATGACCCAACAATTATAAGTACATCATACTGCTGAAGACTCCAGTAATTTGGTCAAGAATCAGCAAGGAATTAAAATGTAGATGTAATAAACTTCATCACACTGCAACAAAAACTTAGAAATTACTCACCTTTCTGGCTTCTAGGAGAAATTCTGCAATTACAGTAAAATTTAAAAATGTTGTTGTTGTAAATATATGTCAAATATATGAACACATGTTCAGAACTATAAACATAATGTACTTAAAGACAATATAAACTTTGTCTTTTTTGATATGGTATCCAGGAAGCTTAATCACTTCCTCACTGGTTTTTGTCCTTTCTCCCATGTGGCAAACATTCTTTTCTCCATATGTTTCTCATGAAGATAGGATATATCACTTCCTCATTTGTTAATGAAGCCACTTCATAGTAACAGTGTGGTTCTGGAAATAGCATTTGATGATAAAAAGTACAGAACAAAAACATCCCTTCGTCACGAACCCGTGAAACAAAGTAGTGCCTCTGTCTTGTTAAAGAAGGGATTCTTCTATAATCAACACACTAAGGATGTGGGCATCGTTCTTTCTTCAACAGACTTCTTAGACTTGAAGGTAAGAGATTGAACTCCTTTTCCAGAAATTTGGATTGATGTAGTTCCATCCTGGTTTTGTATTGTGTTTATGCATCAAGTCTGTCTGACTTTCCATTCAGTTGCTGTAAAGGATTTGCAGAACTTGTGACTAATTCTCTTCTAACAAATAAATAATTTCATTTGTTGCTGTTTGCTACTGTGCTTAACACAAACTGCATTGCTGCTAGACTGTGCTAATATCACAATAAGGTAACTTAAATCAGCGGAGTATAATTCTGTGTAACATGACAACACGCCACCTGGGGAGTCAATCCAAGTTGTGCACTGTGATATTTCAACAACAGTTCAGGTTTGGATTTTTGCTGCAACTTTACAGAACAGTCACTCTTTTCTGGCACTTTGAATACATTATTTTACATTGAAACTGTAAAACAATTTAGATTGTTAAAATTTCAAAACAGGATTTAAAAAATTCAAATTAAGCTACTCTTTAAAATTAGCAATAAGGCATTGCAAGGTAGCATTTTTCTAATGTGAAATTGGGGAACACTTTTCAGGGCAGATGCTTCTGGTCAACAGAATGGGCAACTACATTTCCTGTCAGGTTGTTTTTCTTTTCCAGTTGTGAGTATCTATCTCATGAAGTTATATAAATGTGTAATTAAAAACTGAGAAAGAGCATTTTAAACATGCATTTATAGAAAGTCTACAAGTAGCTATTCAGCTCCCTTCTAAAGGAAGGTTTTTAGCTTTTGTTTCAAGTTGTGCTTGGGAGTAATCTCACTGATTCACCCATGCAAATCAAGATACATAAGTATGTATAGTTTGAAAATGGTATAATGTGTTGTCTTGCCAGTGCTTTTTATCAACTCTGCAATAAACTGCTCTGCTTAGCAATTGCTCTGAATTAAAATTCATACATGTGCTTTTATACTTGAGCCAAGACTGTCTTGCAGTGAATTAAACTTGTTTTTACAACATTTTCGTAAATTTTCAAGAGTAAAGACTGTTACCCTTTTGTCAAGCCCACTGAAATGCACTTTGTTAACTTAGAGCTTGGACTTTAAATTTGTCTTTATGAAATTACTGGCTTTTGAGTGTTAGACCTCAGGTCTAGCCCTTCCCTTTACAGCATTTTATATCTGGCTAGAAGAGCTTTATCTCATCTTCATTACTTCATCAATGACACTAGGAAATCTTTTGTCTACTTGGCTAGAAGCATTTGGGCAGATGCTCGATTAAACTCCCCTTCCTCTCCTAGTGGTTACTCATAGTTTCTGGTCATTCCAGTGCAGTGGGGCCCAAGAGGTGTTTTGAGTCATTCACTGATCTGTGGGTGTTGTGCATTCCTTTTCCCAACTATACATGTAAACATTTGTATAGAAGGAAGTAATTTCAGTGGCTAAAAGGTGTCATACCAGTACAGTTTCGGAGTGAAGTTTTTAATGCTGCTGACTGCTGTTATTAAAATAAGAGCTTCTCTGTTCCCCTTTAACAGGACAAAAATGAAGCAAAAAAGGTGAGATGCTTTGCTGGAAATTATGTTCTCCACACTGTGAGATGGACTACATCAGTAGGGACATCATTATAATTCAGCATAACCTCTGTTAGCTAGTTTCCAATTGCAGGTCAAATGGGCTTTTAGCAAAGAGCTGAAAAAATACCACCCCACTCCCTAATAAGACAGAAAAAGGTGTTTCTCAAAAATTACATCACACATAAAATAATTTTTACACAGCCTCAGAAACAATGAGAACTGTCCTTGTTTTTCTTCTGGAGAAGCACAGGCTTGTTACGATTAACTTCAAGGCTTCCCCTGACATGAACTTCAGTCAAATGCATCAAATCACCATTTGACCTGTTCGCTGACATAAGTGAAAAATCTGTTTTACATAGACTATTGGACATAATTTCACAAAATTGTAGGCTGTACTATTCACCGGGTGTGGAAAGCTTTCTGACACTAAGCATGTGTTGATTAAATTTTTAGAGTAAAGTATTCTTGCATTTGGTTTAAAATGTCAGTATTTTTTGACAGTAAGAAAGTTATGCATTCAAGTTCTACCAGGAAAGTAATCTTCAAGTAGTAAAATTAATTCCCAAAATTGCCTTATTCTGAGTATTGATTTTTCCTAGGTAACACTGACAGGATGGCAGAGGATATTTTAAATTTATACTTTTCCTTACAAAAGAAAGAAAACTAGTTTAATTTAATTCAGATCTCAGTCTTGATTCAAGTAGTGATGGTGGTTGCATAACATGGTTCAAAAGAATCTGAGGCTCCTTCCTTTCTTACTTGAAGGAGCTTTGATTTTCCAGACCTGGCCAACACAGTTCACCCAGGCATGCTAGGCCAGAGCTTGAGATGCTGGGATGGAATCATGGTCTGCACAGTGCCAGATGGACTACATGGACAGATACATCACTGCAATTCAGTATAACCTCTATTCGCCCATTTCCAGATTGCAGCTAGACTGGGATTTTACCAATT